AGCTCAGAGGAAGACTCTGTAGGCACCACTAAAGCAGGTGAGAAGTCAACCCAAAGCCCAACAAACTGCTGAGTGTGAGCTGGCAGGAGGGCTAGGCCACCGGGAGGTACAGACAGAGCACAGCTCACACCTGTCCGCCTGCCAGTGCAGAGGACACAGGTTCGAGCCCTGGTCCAGGAAGATCCCACATGCCACGGAGCAACTAAGCCCGTGCGCCACAACTACTGAGCCTGTGCTCTAGAGCCCGCGAGCCACAACTACTGAGCCCATGTGCCACAACTACTGAAGCCCTCGTGCCTACAGCCCATGCTCCACAACAAGAGAAGCCACCGCAATGAGAAGCCCATGCACCCCAACAAAGAGTAGCCCCCACTCGCCACAACTAGAGAAAGCCCGCATGCAGCAATGAAGACCCAACCCAGACAAAAAAGAATGACCCGAATAACACTATCAACCAACATGACCTAGTTGATATTTACGTTCACTCCTCTCAACAACAGCAGAATACACATTTTTCTCAACTGCACATGGAATATTCACCAAAATAGACTATATCCTGGGTTATAAAATACGCCTCAACAAATTAAAAGAATTGAAATCACATAAAGTATGTTTTGGGACTATAATGGACTTAAACTAGAAATCAATAACAAAGATATATGGAAAATCCTCCCAAATTTAAATAAATTAAACAACACACTTTTAACTATATTACTATCTGCTAGCAGCAAGCAATTAGATGTTGAAAATTTTTGAAGGTACCTTTTACAATAGCACCTAATTCATGACCTATTTATGTATGAATCTAACAAAGCACGTGCAAGCTCTGGTGATTCCACCTTATACCACATTATGGAATAGGCAAAACTCTAATAGGGACAGAACCAGAGCAGTGGCTGCGGGCCTGGGGATGGGGAGGGGAGGCTGATGGCAAAGGGGAAGGAGGGGACTTTGTGGGGTGACGGGCATGCTCTACAGCTGGTGGGGGGGTGACCTGATTTCACACATTTCTCAGAACACATAGGACTGGACACTAAAACTGCCAGTTTACTGTATGTAAATTATAGCCTGATTTTACAAATTAAAACACACACACACACGAACAGGAAAAATGAAATTCGAGTTTCAATGTGCACTTCTGTGCACTCTCAGTGTTGGTCGCCCCATGTGCTCCCGCCATACTTGAACAGAACCCTCCCACTCCGACCACAACCCACCAAAAGGAGGATCATTCTGAGCCTCAGTGGACCAAGACCAAAAGTCCAGCAAGCTTGCATTCTTTAAGAAAATGTACAAATTTAAACTGTAGTATTTATCGTGAACACTGTTTCCTGTAATTACTGACAGTCTCCAAGTCCTTACCAAAATGACTAGCATGGACTTCCCTGGTGGCGCAGTGGTTGAGAGGCCGCCTGCTAATGTGGGGGACACGGGTTCGAGCCCTGGTCTGGGAGGATCCCACATGCCGCGGAGCGGCTGGGCCCATGAGCCGCAACTGCTGAGCCTGTGCGTCTGGAGCCTGTGCTACACAACAAGAGAGCCCGCGATAGTGAGGGGCCCGTGCACCGCGATGAAGAGTGGCCCCACTTGCCACAACTAGAGAAAGCCCTCGCACGGAAACGAAGACCCAACACAGCAAAAATAAATAAATTAACTAATAAAAACTCCTACCCCCAACATCTTCTTTAAAAAAAAAGAATCCGCCTGCCAATGCAGGGGACACGCGCGCAGCAATGAAGACCAAACACAGCCAAAAACAAACAGGCTAGCATTTTCTAAATTTTACAGGTAAGGTTCAGATGCAAATTCTCACATCTACATGGATAAATATCATTTTTACTTCTAGATCTCGGCTGCTGTCCTGCTTGTGTAAGGTAAGTCCACTTAAAGCTCATACTTAATTCCATGACCATTCCCATGGCTCCTACCAGCTACCTTGATCTCAGGTCTGAAATTCCAGAGGTAAGATGAAGCCTCTGTACCACAGCTAGTGAGCCTTAATGCTCTGTAACAGCCAATGCATTAGACGGGCTTTTCAGAATAAACTTATTTTTCCAGCACGGTAGATTCTCTTGCCAGGCAAGATTTGATTTCAAAATTGCACTAAGTTCTAGAAATTCAGGTTCCATTCTTGCACGCTCCCACATTTCAGCAGAGTGTTAGGAAACCTTCTGACCCAGGCTCCCGCCCGCTGGGGTTTGGGTAGAAGGCAAACTGACCACAAAGAACTACGCTCACATTTCTGGGGCTGTGACCCTCGGGTCTCAGTAAATCCCACAACGGGATGGTTTGTGGCGGAAGCATTGTTTGTATTAATTCACATGCTCTGCCTCCTGACTTTGGACAATTCACTAAAGTAATGATCATTCTCTTTTTATTAAAAAAAAGTCTCCAAGTAGCCTGGATTAATTTTTCTTCAATGAGAATTTTTCCTTTTATAATTGGGAAAAAGGGAGCCATAAAGAATTGCTAAGAAGGGGTGGCTAGCAGGAAGCCTCTGGGCACTAAGACGGGGAGGTGCCATGAGGCTGGCGGGGAGCAGATGCAGCCGTGGCCTTGGCCCTTCAGCTTCAAGGTCATTTTTATTTTATTTATTTATTTATTTTATATATTTTTTATTTTTATTTTTATTTTTTTTGCGGTACGCGGGCCTCTCACTGTTGTGGCCTCTCCCATTGCGGAGCACAGGCTCCAGACGCGCAGGCTCAGCGGCCACGGCTCACGGGCCCAGCCGCTCCGCGGCATGTGGGATCCTCCCGGACCGGGGCACGAACCCGTGTCCCCTGCATTGGCAGGCGGACTCTCAACCACTGCGCCACCAGGGAAGCCCCAAGGTCATTTTTAGATGGAAGGTTCTCTCAGGTTAGATATCACATGATAAACATAACAGTTTTTTTTTAAAGTCCAAAAATTATACTTCTATCTGATAGAGACAGGAAGGCAAGAAAGTTGTAAAGTCCTAAAGAAAAACCGTGATGCAGTATAATGTTAAGTATGTTAGAGAAAGAGAGAAAATAAACAGAAGAAATGGAAAGAAATACAAATACAGGAAAGTACTAAAACATTTTTGGAATAATGGACCCACGTAGGATTCTCCCAAACTTTCTTTATTCTTTAAAATAAATGTTTAACATCCCCAGATTGTTAGAAACCTACTGTAACTTAACAAACACATGGTATCACAGCAGGCAGGTTTTGATTGGGGGGATTTATTTTCTCATTTGTTTGGAAAACATAAGGTGAAATTAAGATGCATTAGTTGAGGGTTTCCCTGGTGGCACAGTGGTTAAGAATCCGCCTGCCAATGCAGGGGACACGGGTTCGATCCCTGGTCCGGGAAGATCCCACATGCCGCGGAGCAACTAAGCTTGTGCACCACAACTACTGAGCCTGCGCTCTAGAGCCCGCGAGCCACAACTACGGAGCCCACGAGCCACAACTATGGAAGCCCACACACCTAGAGCCCATGCTCCGCAATAAGAGAAACCACTGCAATGAGAAGCCCATGCACCACAACGGAGAGTAGCCCCCGCTCGCCGCAACTAGAGAAAAGCCCACAAGCAGCAACCAAGACCCAAGGCAGCCAAAAATAAAATAAATAAAGTAAAAAAAAAAAAAAGAAAAGAGGCTCAAGTCACTTAGTGAAGGCTGACGCCAAGTCAGGCACCGTTAAAAGTCTGAACAAGTGTTCTGTGAAACATGTGGTCACATGTTCACATGTCAGGTCATCATACGTGTCATTATAAACTTCATTTCCATCGTGGAAATATTATATATCAAATTGACCCCAAAAAGGAATTTATTGATGTTCTCATTGGAGGCAACGGAGCCTGGCCTTGCATTAGGGTCACCTGATGTGACCACGACGACCCAGGCATGGGTGTCCCACCCTCGCTGGACCAGGACGAGGGGTCGGGTCAGGAAGCTGGAGAAAGGCCCTCACAGCTGCTCAGTACAGGGCGGGCGGCTCGAGGTCTGCTCTGGAGCCCTCAGTCCCCTGTCCCCGCGCCCCTGCAGGGGGTCTCTTCTGGCACCTCGAGCTGCACAAATTACATCCCCTCCTCCAGCAGGGTCGCAGAATAGAAGACACTTCCCTTAAAAACAAGCTAACCAAAGGAAAAAAAGCAAGCTAACCACGTGAAGACCCTCCTCTGTGGGGACCGTGCTGGGAGGACCCCTGGGCGCTCGGGGCCACGTCAGGAAGGCTAAGCAGTAACGCCGGGGCCCCTCCGAGCCCTCGGTGTCACGAGATCCGGGTGGAAAGACCAGGAGGAGATGGGGAGCTTTGCTGTGTGAACTGGAGGAGCGTCAGGCCCTCGGCCTCCGGACCAGGAAACACCCTCGGGCCCCGGGTTTGCTCCCACATTCTCAGCTCAACCATCATCACAGAGCAGACGAAACATCAGCGTTGACTGGACAGACAGTGAGGGGCTCCGGAGCGAAGCCTGCGTCAACCCTGGGTGGTAAGTGTCACATTTCAGAAGCCGGGGTGACACCGGGGTCTCAGTGGGACAGGAGCTGCTTGTGGGCCCGGGTGGGCTGGACCCTGCGAGGCCACCTCCCGCTCGGCCTGGAGCATCCTCGGCGGTATGAACAGGGCCCCCAGAGAGCCCGCTTTGTTGAGTGACGATGTTGGAAAAACTAAATGCAAATGCCACAAGAAATGAAAGGGTTTCTTTTGAGTGATTTCTTTAAGCTTTTACACAATTGCATATGAGAACATGAACATAATCTCTCATTCAATTAGAAGAAAAACAAAATAACAGCGTTAGCTGTTCAGAAAATGTATTTTTGCTCAACATTCTAACACCCCTGAAAGATGAAACTATCCCAGGGGTTTGACGGGAGCCCACGTACCAGACGGTTAAAGACAGTGTTTCCTGTCACGTGAACGGCATCCTGACCTGCAGGTACACGATGCCCACGCCTTCGACTGCCTTTGACCCAAGGAGCTGGAAGGCTAGCTGTTCCAGCCCCGGCGGGCAGGTGTCCCCACTCACCTGGACGTGCAGGGCGCCCTCTACCGCCTCCCGGATGTCGGAACAACTGCTGATGAGTGACAGCTGCTCCTCCGCGCTCAGCGAGCCTTTCAGGGAGCCCGACTGCTCCAGCAACTTCATCTCTTTTCTGGAAAGCAGTGCAGAGTGAGCCGTGAGTATTCGGAAACAATTCAAAATCAAACAGAGGTCTACGTTACTCATCATCAGGGAAATGCAAATCAAAACCACGGGACGCCCATTAGGATGGTGACGGTGAGCAAGCGCTCGCGGGGATGTGGAGAAACAACCCTGTGCACTGCCGGCTGGAATGTAAAAGCTGCAGCCAGGGGGGCAGATGTTGGGTGGTTTCTCAACAAGTTAAAAATAGGACTATCATGAACTGGTGACTCCACTTTTGGGTGTATACCCTCAAAAGCTAAAAGCTGGGACTCAAACACATATTTGTACCCCCGTGTCCATACCAGCATTGCTCAGTGGCCAAAAGAGGGAAACAACCCAATGTCCACAGACGGATGAATGGATATACAGCCACACAATGGAATGTTATTCAGCCTTAAGAGGGAAGGAAACCCTGACACAGGCTACACTGAAACGCAGCAGGACGCTATGTCCTCAGCCTTTGTCTGTGAAGAGGGAAACAACCCAATGTCCACAGACGGATGAATGGATATACAGCCACACAATGGAATGTTATTCAGCCTTAAGAGGGAAGGAAACCCTGACACAGGCTACACTGAAACGCAGCAGGACGCTATGTCCTCAGCCTGCCTTTTGTCTGTGGAAAAACTTTAGCCAAAGAATAAGTTTAATCAGAGAAGTGAGAAAATGCAGAAACAAAGGAAAACAGTCAAAGGAGACCAAAAAATAATAGTTTAGTCATTAAGCACAGCCAAGGACCTTTAGTTCCCCCTTAAGGGATAGAGATAATACTCTGAGCCGTATCCTGTGAGCTGTCTTGTAGATACTGAAACCCTCACCAGGTGAAAGAAGTTAACTCCATGATGACCAGACTGTAGCCATGACAGAAGCTGCCATAATTCCAAGAACTGGCCTCAAAGAGATGGAAGCAAACTGAATGTGGAACTGAAGGTTATAACTGTACCTAAAACGATCAAGATGACGTTGGTCAGATCACCGATGACCAATTTCATGGTGACTGTCAGAGCTGCCTGTGCTGTTTCTGCCGGTAGAATAAAAGCTGTCTGTAAAAGCTCTTGCCCCCTGGTTGTCAGTGGGGGGAGTCGGCCTTTGGACAGGCGTCCGTCTCCCTCCACCCCCCACCCCGGCTGCCGGCCTGCAAAATAAAGCAAACCTTCCTTTCCACCAGCCTGGCCTCTTTATTGGCTTTTGAGTGGCGAGTGGCCGGACCCCACTTTCGGTTACAACACCATGGATGAACCTTAAGGACATTATGCTCAGTGAAACAAGCCAGCCACAAAAGGACAAGTACTGTACGATTCTACTTGTATGAGGTCCCTAGAATAACCAACTTCACAGAGACAGAGAGAGAGTAGGGGCTGCCAGGGGCTGGAGTAGGTTGCTGTCTAATGGGGACAGAGTCTCAGTTTTGCAAGATGACGATGACAAGAGTGATGGAGACAGATGGCTGTACAACAGTGTGAATGCGCTTAATATCACTGAAATGGACCAAAAAATTATTAAGATAATAAATCTTATGTTATATGTATTTTAAAATTAAACTTTTTTTTTTAATCTTTAAAGGGTGAGACAAGGCCCATCGTGGGTAAAACCAGAAACCAGTGGTTGTTCAGCCTCAGTGGGCCCCTGGGGAGAAGGGCACAAGGAGGCGCCTCGCAATGTGGACCAGGGCTGCGTGGCTGTAACTCACGACACGTTAAATACACAAGGTAAGCACACGCACAAACATGCACAGGCTTTCCAGAACATTCTCTGGATTTCTCTGCCAGTGACTCAGCCACTTTCACATGGTTTCAGGCCACAGGTTTTATCGCTAAGCCGTCGGAGACCTTTGGAGGGAACAAGTTGGGTTGGTGCTCCTGGGCGCAGGGTGTCAGCCAGCGGTCGGGGAGGCCCTGGGTTGGGGTGATGGCTTGAGCGTGGCCAGTTACCTGGAGGGTCTGGGTCTCAGGTCACCGCATCAGGTGCTGTGGGAACAGGAGGCCACAGGAAGGCTGGGCATCATGTGAGTGAGGCCTGGACAGGAGGGACAGCCCTGGGCCGGTGTCTGCAGGGCATCCCTGAGCCGAGGTAACCCATGGGCAGCCCTGCTCGTCCCGTCCTGTCCTGTCCTGCCTTATCCTGTCCTGCCCTGTCCTGCCTTGTCCTGTTCTGCCCTGTCCTGTCCTCTCCTGTCCCGTCCTGTCCTGCTTTGTCCTGTCCTGTCCTCTCCTGTCCTGCCCTGTCCTGCCCTGTCCTGTTCTGCCCTGTCCTGTCCTGCCCTGTCCCGGGGAGGCCGGTGCTCCTGAGGCACCTGGGCCCACGTGGGTCGGCCAGCTCCCTTGTTCTGTTTTTTTCTTAAAGCTGTGCATTTTGTATTTTGCTTTAGCTACAAATTGAGGAAGAGAGACTTTCTTGCTACTGTTACTGTGAAAGAACGGAAAGATGTGCTGAAATACAGGTTTCTTTATTATTTTACCAAAAAGAAGCTTCAGCAAAGAGAACAAGTCCACGACACATCAGGCGGATGCAGCCTCTCCTGCTTCCGGGACGGCCTCGCAAAGAAGCCCTCGCAGGCCATCACCGTGCAGGGGACTCGGGCTTCAATTTTTTAAAAGGAGACAGAATCTGTGAGAGTTTTGTCATATAAATGATTTGGAAGAGCTGTGGTATATCAGCTAAAACAAACAAACCGAGAAAGCTAGTCACACTAGTTCCAATATTCTTCATTGAGTGTTTTGGAAGAACTCCTGCCTGGAGCTTTGCAGGGGACGAACATAAATACCTGGAAAATGTACGACTCTCAGCTGGCTTCTCAGCCTCATACACTCACTACTAGAGCGCCCGCTAAGAGGCTGCAGTGCCCCAGCCTGACCTCTAGAGGTCAGCCCAGCACCAGGACTCAAGGCTGCTAACGTCAGCAAAGTTAGGAGAAAAGGAGACGTTAACAATTAACAGTATAGGGTCCAGGGCTTCCCTGGTGGTGCAGTGGTTGGGAGTCCGCCTGCCGATGCAGGGGACACGGGTTTGTGCCCCGGTCCGGGAAGATCCCACGTGCCGTGGAGTGGCTGGGGCCCGTGGGCCATGGCTGCTGAGCCTGCGCGTCCGGAGCCTGTGCTCCACACGGGAAAGGCCCGCGTACCGCAACAACAAAAAAAAACAAAAACAAACCAAAAAACAGTATAGGGTCCAAAATGGGTGATCCTTTTGTATATTTCTGTTTTTGAGATTTTACTTAAAACAGACATTTATTAATTTAAAAAGATAAGAACTTATCAAAGAAATAAAACACAAATATTTCCCAAACAGGAGAATGTGTTCCCAGGTCAGATCCTAAGCCCAGGTGTAGGGACAGGGGACAGGAGACTGTGGGTTTGGGTTAATAAACTCTAGTTAATAGTTGTCTTTATGCATGCATTTCCTTAATAAAATTGTTTAAAATATAACAACCTAGGCATTGAGCTGTTTCAGAGGATTCGTGGTGTCTGTCCTGTGCTCTGCACCGCCTGTAGCCCATCCTCGCTGCCTGCTTCCTGTCTGCGGCCAACTCCACGAGGAGTCTCACTGTCAGCCTGTTAGGAAGTGCCAAGGGGATTTGGGGCAGGTTTTTCTACTTACCCCCTCTTCCCTGAGGTCTGAGGCACTGAGGCAGCTGGAGATGGAGAGGACGTGGTGGGAGGGCAGAGCCAGGCAGGACCAAGCTCACGAACGCAAGTCTACTTGGCCTCCGCCAACAAAAATCCTAAATCACAGAGGCACAGGACAGGGGCCAGCTGGGAAACGAGGGGCCAGGCCAGACGTGTCCCAGGGCCCGGAGATGCTCAACTGCATCAAGCTGATGCTCCACAAAGGCCCCAGTTACGTTGGGACAACGTGCCACAGTACCCTCGGCCCCTGCGGTGGAATGCTGTGCAGACACTTTCTTTTCATTCATTCATCTCATTTTTATCATTTTCAGTGTCTCTGAAGTGGGAAAATACCAAACTTTTTATTAAAAATAGGAGCCACTTGGGGCTTCCCTGGTGGCGCAGTGGTTGGCCGCTGAGCCTGCGCGTCGGGAGCCTGTGCTCCGCAACGGGAGAGGCCACAGCAGTGAGGCCCGCGTACCGAAGAAAAAAAAAAAAAAAAAAAAGGAGCCCCAGACTTCTTTTGTTTGACGGCACAGGGCCTTTAAAATCTGGAATCCCTTCCACTAAAGCTGGTCCCCCATCCACCAAGGGCTGCACCTCCCCCACTCCATTCTCTCCTCACCCTTTATTCACAAGGGTTACAGGCCCAGCCCCCTGAATGCCTCAATCTGAAAACCTCTCAGGAAGTAGATGGACTTCCATATGCGGTAGGAAGAGAAGTCCCTCCATCTGTCCCACAGAAGGCCTAAGGATCTGCCTGCTGGGACCCAGGGCCCCACTGTCACCCCTCTCAGGCACTCAAAGGTCTCTTCCCTTGGGCGGGAGACACCCCGGGGAGCACAGGGCCTGCTTCAGCCTCAGTCGGTCAATTCCACCAACGTTTTCACTGGAGTATCAGGCCGAAGCCCGGTTAACAAAAGGGTCCCCTGCTTTCCTGTTTGTCGTTGCAGGAAACCTCATAGGGAGAAATCACCAGGATTCACATTCTGAGTCCACACGCTGACTTAAGTCCATGTGAGCCTTCACAGCCTTCCCCTCCCTGAGAACACGTGTGTCCTCCCACCCGGGCCCTGCAGGATGGGGAGGTCGGCGTGAATCCCCAAAACCCAACAACAGTCACTCCTAACCCTGCCATTCAGAGATAGCCAAAGTACTCTGATTTCTCCCCAATTTTAAATGTACAATTAGCATATGTAACTTTTACAGATCAGAGAAAGCAAAAGCCATTTCTGTTTGGGAAGAGGGGTAAATAGCTAACATGAAGCAATTATTTGAACTGTCCTAGTGACAGCCAAGGGCCAACAAGACCCGTGAACACACAGACAACGTCAGGATCAACAACCCGCTGAACTGACGGCCC